CCCAAAACCCCAAAACCCCAAAACCCCAAAACCCCAAAACCCCTTTTCAAATAAATTAATAGAAAATTATTAAAAATTAGATAAAAATGTCAGGAGTCATGAAAGGATTGACTGTCTTCATTGGAGACATCAGGAATTGTCAGAATAAGGAGCAGGAAGAGAAGTGAGTAGAGAAGGAACTTGCTAAGATCAGGAAGAAATTCACGAATAAGGGACTTAGTGGCTATGAAAAATAAAAAGCATGTCTGGAAACTGATCTATACCTATATCTTAGGCTATGAAGTCGACTTTGGGCATCTAGAAGCCCTGAATTTGATCAATGCGTCTAAGTATTCTGAGAAATGCACTGGGTATATCGCTACAGGGATAATGCTCAATGAAATGAACGCAGATCCTGAACTCCTGGAGATGGTTATTAATTCTATTAAGACAGATTTGACATGTGGGAACGAAGTTTATGAATCCCTAGCACTCTCTACTATTGCTAATATTGGTGCTACAGAGTTCGCAAGATCTCTTGGATCTTCAGTACAGAGATTAGCATTTTGTGAGGATTACAAGCCAAGTTATTTCATCCAGAAAAAGGCATGCCTCTGCTTGTACTCCTTCTTCAAGAAAAATAAGGAAATATTTAACAGAGAAGTATGGGCAAGTGCATTTGATAATGAGCTATTGACACAGAAGAACTATGGAGTTCTCCTCTCTGCATGTGGATTGATTCATGGAGTACTGGTCACTATGGGAACAGAAGGATTTGAAGGATGTGTGACTAAGCTAATCTACATTCTTTCCCGGATCCATGATTATGCAACTGATTATCTATACTACAGGACTCCTTCTCCATGGCTTCAAATCAAGGCACTGAAAATACTCAGATTGTTCCCGCCACCAGAAGACGAAGAGGCATTGAATGCCATCAACGAGGTACTTATCAGCCTTGTGACAGGAACTGAAGTAGGAACAAATGTAAATAAGAACAATGCAGACCACGCCATTCTTTTTGAGGCTATCAGATTGGTCATTCACTACAAAGACAAAGCAAATGAGATTGTGAGGAAAGATATCCTTGCTCTTCTTGGAAGATTTATTAATGTTCGAGAAGCTAATATTCGGTACTTAGCCCTTGAGACTATGGCTAGACTCAGCCATAATGAAGTGATTAGCAGTTATCTCATGAAAGAGCACATGAATACTATTATTTATAGCTTGAGAGACCCAGATTTGTCCATTAGAAGGAGATCATTAGATCTTATTTTTGCCCTCTGCGATCAAGACAGTGCAACTAATGTAGTTAATGAATTGCTTGTGTATTTGAATGAGAATGATTACACTCTGAAAGAAGAGCTGGTCTTGAAAATCGCTATTTTGGCTGAGAAATTTGCTCTAAACTTGAATTGGTACGTCGATGTTATTGTGAAGCTTATCACCACAGAGTCAGCTGGTGATTATGTATCTGATGAGATCAGATTCAGAGTGTACCAGATTTTGACTGGATTTGGAGAGGTTGATCCTAATTATGAACTCCAGAAATATGCTGCTCTCCAAATTTTCTTGGCTCTCCAAGTTGATTTTGTTCATGAGACGATGATCAAATTAGGAGCAAGTGTATTGCCAGAGTTCGGGCACCATATTGCAGATGCTCCTGGTAAAAGCCATACAGATCAATTTGAAGTCTTGGATAAGCATTTCACCACTTCTAATATCTCGACAAAGGGGATGATCCTGACAGCTCTAATGAAGTTTGCCTTACAAGATAGCTCTCTGATTCAGCATGCAACAACTATCTTCACAAGATATTCGAGGAGTTGGAATGAAGACATCCAGCAAAGAGCTATTGAGTATCTTAGAATGCTCAAGTTCTTAGAGAAGGATGAAAGCTATAGAGAATTCATTCTTGAGTCTTTTGAACCATTACCAACCTATCCAGACCATATGCAGAACAACTCTGTGCTGATCAAGAGAATGAGTCAGATCAAGAAAAAGAAGAACTTGGCTGCAACTGGAAAGGATGATACTGAGAAAGACATTGCCACTGAAGCAACAGAAGAATATAAAGCTCAAGTATCATCAGCACTTTCTAGAGGAAAGTCTAAAGAAGCTTCAAGCACTTCAGGTTCAGATATCTTCTCTGGAGACACTGGCTCAAAGACTGAGGGCGGAGCTTTTGATGACATCCTTGGCCTTGGGGATTCTTCAGGAAGTGATGTGTTGGGCCATCCATTTGCTAAAGCTAACCCTGGAGATTTCAGCTCGAGTCAAACTGTTGATATCAATTCTGAAGCTGAAGAACTCTCTATGAATGGAGATCAGGATTCTAAATGGAAAAATTTGATTCCAATCAGCTGTACAGATGGGACTATTTTTGAGGATGATAATATCAAGGTAAACATGAGGTTCAATATCTCCAAATACGTAACAAGAGTCTTAGTAGAGTATGTTTCCACAACAGCATCGACCTTAGATAGTGTCCAAGCAATGCTGAAAGTTCCAGATGGAATGAAAGCAATGATATCTGATACGAAATATCCAACGAATGACACTGATAATCCAAAGGCGATGATGACCGTCCTCCACACAGGAAGTATTAAGGAGGATATTAAGATGGCTATCAAGTACGAATCAGGCTTTGGTGACCCAGTCAAGCAAGTTTTCAGAGTCCCCGTTTTAGTCAATAAGTTCATCGATAAGGTAGATATGGAGCAAGATAGATTCGATCATCTTTGGAATGATATTTCTACTAATAGACCAGACTCCTTTGAAAAGGTAGATTTAGTGATGTCAAACCCAGCAAGAGGATCAGGAGCAAGCCAGATGGATGTCCTTAAAAAGCTGGCTAAACTTCTTTCTATGTGCATGAATTTGAAGGTTCTCCCACCAACAGATAAGAGTAACTTCAGCAAGATTTGTGCTGTTGGGCAAGTCCATGTTGCAGATGAAGATGCTGATTTCCCAAAGAATGCTGATGATATCAACAATGGTTCGACTGTTCCTCTCATGGTTGAATGTGAGTTCTATACTGACATCAATGAGGATGAGTTCAGATGCTCAATCAGGTCCAATGATAAGGTTAGAGTGACAGCAAGCTTCGCACAGCTATTTAAGTTATTTGTATAAGCTGTCATTTATTCTAAAGAAGATTTATACTTAATTCAAGTTGGATTGACAGTTTTGGGGTTTTGGGGTTTTGGGGTTTTGGGGTTTTGGGGTTTTGGGG